ACTCAACTAGCTTTCAGGCATAAGGCAGGACTAGAACTCACCATCTCTTGGTGATTAGCCCAAAGTCACCCAGTCGGCTTTCATGCCTCGGGCAGGACTAGAACTCACCATCTCCTGGCACAAAGGCACCTAGCTGGCTTGGTATCCAAACAGGCCTGGGATTTTGGGTCTGCTGCCTTCAATTGCTCCACCACAGTGGCTCTCTGAGTGATAACCCATTTCTAGATTTTTATTTTCCTCGCCCGTCTGGCTTCTACTTTCCTGGTCTCTTCTAGGAGGAACACCTCCGTGGATGAAAACTATGAGTGGGATTCAGAGTTCGCTCTGGAGTCGGAATTACTGGACGCCTTACAACTCTATCGGAGCGGAGACCCCAAAAGGCCCATTTCCACCATCGCAGCCCACGACTTGGAGAAGCAGAGTAAGCCGATCTCCCCAGCGTGTAGGAAAGAGCGCGTTCCGAAAGGGATTTTAGTCATGAAATTGTATGCATTAAATTAAATTTGCCCCCCCAAAATTAAGGGAGGTCTTAAGATTATGAATGTCCCTTGGGACAGTGCTGAACATGATACAAACAGTCGAAAACATTGGAAAACAATCTTTTAACGACCCCATAATCCCTTGCAGGGTGGACATCTGAGCAACCAAATGGAGCTAGCAGAGTGTTTGAATGGCCGGATGCCCTTCCTGTCACCAGTGCGGAGTTTTGTTCAACAGATAATATTCTCAGTGTGCCCAGAGAGAGATTAGGAGGCAAGAGCCTCTAGGCCACCGTACCACTCCCTGCACAGGACCTAATGATAATGATTAAATTAATTAATTAATTTTTAATAAATAAGCAATCTGACCTCATTCCCCCAAAGGATGGGCTTAACGTGACTTGAACCGGTGTCTTCCTCTGCCTCCCCTTTGCAGGCTTCAGAGATTCAAGCGAATCCAGCAGAACGTCTCCTGCTAATTCACAGTCGGTTGGCGCCTTGGATGGGTCCAGCTCTCCGTTGCCCTTGGCTAGTCCCGAGGAGCGTTGCGCCGCCCTGCGCAAGGAATTCCTCGCTTACCGGCGGCGGCGAGAAATGATTCAGCAACGGCGGCAGAAGAGGGACCCCGGCGGGAAGGATGAGCGATTTGAACAAGCCACCTTATTCTGAAATCTCCTCCTTGGGATTTTTTCCGGTGGGACAATTTGCCCTCTTGTCCACAAGAGGGCGGCTTTGGGACAATCTGAATGCTAACTCTGGCCTCTAGAGGCCTGCAGGAGAACTTTTTCGAACTTCAAAGTTCCAAAGATACCAGGCAATTTTTTTTTAAAAAAAAAAAAAACTTTTTTTCCCCAAATCTCTGGAGTAATTTATCCAGGCAGGAAGAAAAATACATTGGCGCCACCCTTGTGGATGTCTGTGTGTGTAAACCTACGTGTGATTTATTTCCAGCCGGATTCTAGATGAGAAGCAGCCGGTGAATGGGATGTTTGGTAAATGGAGGCTTTGCTGGGGAACAAAAAACAAAAAAAGAGAGAACATTTTACCAAATCTTGGCGTCTTGTAAATTCTTAACACACAAAATAGCACGTCATTTAAGAGCTGGTTTGCAAAAGGACGGGGCTGGGCCATTGAAGGTGTTACAAGTAATTTGAGAATTGATCTAGCGGCTTGTTTGAAGGCAGGCGAGGGAAAGAAGGAAATTAAATGAGTGGAGGAGATTGGATCTCCTCCCCCAGCCCCAGGGGTCGGGTTCAAAAATCCCAGCCACCGGTTTGGGCATAGCCATGGTGGGAAGTCTGGGGGTTTTTTTGCCTTCCCAAGGGTCCACGGGCTTTTCCTTGGGCCTTTGGGAGGGCGAAAACGGCCTGCCCCGAGCTCCGGAAGCTGGAAACAGGCCCGTTCTGGACTTCCGGAAGCTGGAAA